GTTCTCCTCTCTGTCATGTGGATGGAGGACCTCAGTGACGAGAGGAGAATGTGTAGAGGTTCAAGTGAAGTTTTTGATCTTATAATACTGCTTTCTTTCTAAACTTTGCTTTTGTCTATATTAAAAACCCTTTAAATTAAAATGAATGAAATTCATTTTRTAGTAATAATAAACCCACCTAATGTGTATTTTATGTGGACATTTATTGAGTACAAACTATTTAAAAGTGTAAACTTCAGAAAATTTGACTTTTTGACTCATTTGAAAAAAAGCCAATAACTAATCACATAATTACAAAATAAATYTACTGTAAAACATTCTTCAGTCTGTGACACAGGATTATACACAGGTTCGTGTGAATCTTTAAAAAGTCTTAAATGGCATCGAGTTCATCAGTCCAAGAATAAGGCCTTTATTAGCCTTAAAATGTCTTAAATCAATCTTTCAGCAGTTCTAAATATGTTAACACATTATAATAAGAATGACTGTAATTCATCTCAAATATTAAAATAGTTGGTAACAGGTGTGAAGGTGTCGTACCAGTTTTTGTTGTTTTTTTTCTTTACATTCTTGTTTATTGTGAAGTTGGTCTTAAATTTAATTTCAAATGGCATTAAAAAGTCTTAAATTTTAATTTGCTGTAAGCTGTAGGAACCCTGAAATAAGTAATTTGTGTCTCATGGTCACAGAGTGGGGTGGACGATCCTAACTTTGCCTACGATTTGCTGACCGAGCTGACACGAACCTTTCTGGCGTACGCCGACAACGTGCGAGCTCAGGACTCGGCTGCCTACGCGATTCAGGTTTCACTCGAGCGCACTTTACCAATGCAGCATTTTTCAAAGTTTTCTGTGTTTCTGCATTTTGTCTGGAACACACGTTTGTGTGTACGTTGTGATGTGCTCTGCAGGAACTGCTGTCTTTATTTGAGTGTCGTGAAGGAAGAACCGACTCGTCGGGCCGCCGTCTGTGGAGGAGATTCCCAGAACAGATTCAAGAAATCCTGGAGCCTCACCTCAACAGCAGGTATTCCTCCTCCGTACAGCTACATCTGCTGCAGCTTGTTTTTACTCTGCTGCAGCTGTAATTTGAGATGTCCCAATCTGATGGTAAGTTTAGAATCAGAGTACAGTTCAAGACCGTTTTCAGTGACTGGCCGCAGAAAGGCCGACACTCTCTGCTCCTGATCAGTCTGTGGTTTTATGTTGCGTCAGCCGCGCTGCAGTAGAATAGCAGCTGTGATACAGCAGCTGCTGTGATGTACAAGCCTGAAAATTAATGACCCAGAGCAGAGTTGTAAAGTCACTGCAAATACTTTGTTACTGTACTTAAGTAGAATTTTTGGGTATCTGTACTTTACTTGAGTAATTATTTTTCAGCCTACTTTTTAMTTCTACTTCTTACATTTTCAAAAAAGACAAGAAGTAGAAAGTCGTTACTTTTATTTCATTTTTGCTTGTTYTCATTCYAKCTTGTTATTGTAAAAAATAAATCCTATCCATATAAACTGTGCCTCCTAGATAGAGCGAATTTAATTGTGATTGAATGAGAAGTATAAATATATAAAATTCTGATACTGTATTAGTTT